GGGTTGCTGTTAAGGATCAAAGACGTAAGCAAAAGCACTTTGAAAAATATAAAGTTGAAGGTATTTGTAAATAAGTAACAATTGTTATTTACCTTCCATTTATGATAGACTTAGTAAATTCAGAAACAAAACCAAAGCTAAAAAATGAAATCCAGAATAAGTAATATTAATTTAATATATGCTTTTTCCTTGCCGGTAACAGCTGGATATTCTTAAGTTTTCCAAGTTAACGTCATCAAAATGTGACAACTCCCAGTTTTTATATTTTATCAGAAACATGATCACAGTTCAACTTTCCTCCACTTTGACCATTTCCCATCATAACATGCTTGGTTATATATTGACATCTCTTTCCTCTGGTTTTACCTCTGTAAAGCTGGTACAAAGAATATATGTTACATCATGTTATACTTGATAATGACAGATTCAGAAATTTTGATTATGAATCTCACTGCATGGATCAAAAGAGTAGAAGGGTGATGGCAATGGGGATGAGGGGTTAAATCATGCAAAAAAAAAAAAAAACCACAGTTTGGAAATCATCCTTTAATGAGGGTAAGTTTACAGCCAAACTTTTAGCATGATACTTCAATCTATAGCTCAGGTACCATTGGCTTTCCATCTGCAACACACCATAAATACACACAAAAGACAATTATTATGTGAAAAGAACATGAAAATTTTGGTGCTATTTATTGCTACACAATCTGTCGTACTATTAAAATTTAAAAGCATTTCTGCAGTTGTCATATTTCATTTTCACTAGTAAATAACAAAAAAAAACGTAAAATGTATGTTGTTGGAATTATTTTCCTACAATGATATGCTTTTATAGAATTTCTCGCACAAAGAAGCAATTACAGATTCTAAAAGCATCTTGAAAGACATTTTTAAAAACCTCAAATACAGGAAAACTGAACCTAACCTACCATAGCAAATGGGAAAAAACTAACAATATTTTCGCAGATCCTCCTATAGGACGAATGTTTTAAATTTATTTGCCTACCTCTTTTTAAATCTTAAAATGAGCTTATATCTTTGCTACAATACATTTTGAGGTTAAGTAGTACCTTTCACACACTAGCCTTTTCAGTTAACTACTTGATTATCTCATTTATTTTACCATACACCTCCTAACAGGGAAAGCAGGATAGTAAGAATAAATCAATCATCTACCAATATCTATTTCAGAAAGATATTTTATAGACACAATTATTCTTTAATCAAAAGTACTTTTTAAATCAAAAGTATTTTATTAGGCCTGGCTGACCGAGATTTGAAGCATCATCCTTTATGAAACAATAATCTAAAAAATGAAGGGATGATTTTAGTCTTCCTTGGAAGCGGGACAACTCTGTATAAATTATTTATTGGAAGTTCCATACGAGTGAAAATTGTATTATGATTTCCTTGAGTATAATTTTTTTTGGAGGGGGGCCTGGTGCTCTGTAAAAAAAAAATGTTCAAAAAGCAGCAGCTCTTAAAAATCACATTTCACTTTTAAACTCTCATAGAACCATCACCGGACAAACATCTTTTACTTTTGCCACAGACTGAAAAAAGAAAAATGTCAGAACAAGATGATCCCAGCTGCTACATTCTTTTAGAAAGTAGCCATTTCTTTTCCTCCTTTGAACTTACAAGGCTGAACACCCAGCCTTGTAGTGAGTGACAGCTTAGCCATCCTGGGCTGGAGATGCAACCTTCACCCTCTTTCAACCCTACATTTCAAAGGTCAGCCAACCTAACCAAGAAATCCCTGCTAGTGATGTATAAGATGATGACACCAATGTTCTTACCAAATGACTGTGGGAATTCAAAGGCTTTAAAAATATAAGGCCACGCTTAGAGATGAAAATGCCATGAATCATTAAACTATAAAGCATACTCAAGGTAGCAAAGTAACTAACCTGTATTTGTACAGGAATGGTAGGGGCTAGAAAAAAAAAAAGCACCTCAATGATGGTGCATTTATTTCCTTCGACTGCACTCATCACTCCTATACTTCCATCTGCATTAGGCTAAGTTAAGAAAACACATTAGGCAAAGGAATATAACCTGTTGTGGATGATGAATATATCCATTTCCTTTAAATACCAGACTATGGCATGACATTTTGTCAATGAATTTTTCTGATGTGCAGGACAAGTTATCCCCTGATTGTAAATGCTATGCCTCAATATTTCAGTTTGCCTTAGAAATAATCCAAATGGGATTAGAATTGCATTAGTAATTTAATAAACAAAAACAAAACTGAAAGATGAGGACATAAATTTGCTCAAATGAAGATTTGTTGCCTCTAAGCATAAAATCACTTTAAGCCTAAACTCATTTGACAACTAACACAGGGGAAGGATTTTCTTCCCTTAGGTTCAGAAGGATTTGTTTAATGATATTTTAAAAATATAAGTAAATCAGTCAACAAAGAGTGTTTCTGTCCTATGATTTCTCATTCTCTTCTCCCTTATACATTTTCTAGAAAAAGTGACGACATAAAGAACATTTCTGTTTTGTATGAAAACCAATTACATACAATCCCCAACATATGGAACCAATTTGAAGGATTCAAACTGAAGGGCAGTAGGAAGTGTTTAATATGATTCCATGTCAGTGTTTTTTCCCCTTAAATCCAATACAGAAACATTTATGACAATTATTTTCGGACACACTGTTCTTCTTTGGTGCAAATTTACACTGAAGTGAGATGATCTCTTTAAAACCCAGAATGTTACAAGATCAGGAAAAAATAAAATATTCTAATTACCTAGATATGTTCTATTTCTCCCTTGTGCAAGTAAGCTTATAGAAAAATTGCATTCCCATGGCTTCTGATCTACTTCTCTCAGAGCACAATACTATGAATCTATCATTTTGTGGCAGCCAGAGGTCACTCCAAGACAAATGTGTAGGCAAAAGCTTTGGGGTAGGGGGAGTAATTCTCAGGAATCTATTTGTCAATGATGATATGGAATGACACTTTATACTAGAGATAAAAAAGCAAAAGTATATAAACAACACCCAATAAAAATGTTAAAATAAACTTTCCATACTGACAGAAAAGGAAAATCTGTAGTATAGATTATAGTTGACTAGTGAAATGCAATTTCATTTTTAAAAAAATACCCTGCTCGTCCTTCCCTGCCAAATGAACACTATGTTGAAACGAAAAAATATTATTCGTTCTACAAAATATAGCAAGATCTCTTTAAGAATAAAAATAGTTACAAAATGAAGCAATATATTCTGAAAACAGTAGAGCTATATACCTTAGCAATTTTACACCTGCATGATCAAGGGTTTTTAATTATCAGTTGAAAATACTAACACTGAAGGGCTGATGAGGGGGGAAGATTTTCTTTCTTTTACTATCTTATAATTTTGTAACCTTAGAAATTCCATTCCTGGAAAGACTTTTATTACTGACAACATATACACTTGTAATTTCTTTTTATTAGTTGTTTGCATTTAAAAATTAGGCTAAATCACATTTCCTATAAACCGGGGAGAAAAGATAAAAAATTTGCACATCTCATAGGAAGACTTAATCAAAAGCAGGCTGTTTTATTTTTCAAGAAGTTTCAACCTGCTGATAATTAATTTAAAAGATGTCACCCAATCTACTAAGAAAGGCAAAGCTCTGAGATCGAAAAGTAAAACCTATGTCTGTTATTGGTGCCCTTCATTCATGGATTGCAACAAAGCTCAAATGTAGCAAACCTTTAACCAAGTCATCAAACCTAAAACATATTAACAGGAGCAAGATTGAAACATCCAAGGTAAATGGATCGTGCATAATTAGAGGGCCTATCCACATGAAATAGATGTGAACCTAGAATCAAGATGCAGAAAAACAGGGCCAAAAATATGTCGGTGTGAGAAGCATGTTCACAACGTTTCTGTTCTCGGTGTCCGAAAACACTAGGTAAAACTGCTCCTATATTCTTCAGCGCTGACACAGGTTATCAATACACACCACGACATTTCCCCTTCCTCATTAAAACTTCCCTTTTCCTGGCCTTACTGTGGTTTCTTGCCCCTTTGGAGACAGTGACAAAGGCATAGAAAACGTCTCCTTTGTCACCCCCTCCCTTGGCAGCATCTAAAAGACACTGAATGTTGGGCCAACAAGGCAAAAGAGCAGGCGACTTAAGGAGGACGACGTTTGCAGCACCCTGTCGTGCCTTTACTGTCCCTTATGCAACAATAAATCATGCTAACCCCAACCTCTCCCTCTGGAAATCATGTGGGCAGCTAAGTTCTTTTTAAACAAACATCCGAAAACACACAGTATAAAGTGCAGCTGTGGCTCCCAAAGTTTGCGTGCGTCTCTGCGTGTCAGTCGGTCTCCGGTTAGCTTCTGTACCTAGGTCACTGTCTAAAGCTTTCCAAAACTTGGAAGGGGGAGGGGAAAAAGGGAGTGGGGGGGGCGAATGACCAGCGGACATTTCCTCGGTCCTGGCGGGTACTTTTGTTCTCGGCCCACACTGGCTAGCCAAACTCCTTCCCGTCCTAGTGTCTGGAAAACCCGCCCTTCCCTGGCCTAGCTGTCCCTGGGCAGCCAGCGCTGCCGGATCTCTGTGGCCAGGACCGCTGGGAGCCCTAGGGATCAGACTTGGGCTGGGGGGAGGGGTCAGACTGGGACTTCGTTCAGGGGCTGCCCACCGAGCAAGCGTCCGCAAGGGTTAGCGGGAGGGAGAGGGTGCAAACCCAGTGAAGCGGAGTGTGCCTTCTGCCCCTCCACCCAAGGTGTGATAACTATGAGGTGAGCTGGCAAAGCTCTAAGAAAGCGCCGCGTCCCCCTTCCCTTATTTTGTGCCCCCTCCCACTAGCCGGGCTTTTAGGCCACGGGGAGCGCACTGGGTCAGGTTCGGGGGCACAGCCCCTTCTCCGTCCCCTCCACCTCCTCCCCAGCCAAAGGCTGGACTTGGGTAGAAAAGGGAGGCCGAGAAGGGGGGCGCAGTAGGTGCGACACCTGCCGCAGCCGCCCCCCACTTCCCTACCTGCACCCCTCTTTCTCCCCGCTCCGCACAGAGTTACTGCTGCAAACTTTTCTTGCAGAAGGCAGCGCTGCTGAGCCGGCCTGGGGCGGGAGAAGACGGCAGGGCAGCTGCCACTAAGAGACCACCGGGCAGGAAAGGGGCAGCCGGGGTCAGGAAGGGAAGGAGCTCTACATGGCACCGACACCTTGGGTGGGAGGGGGTAAGAAGCCGCCGCAGCCTTCAGCAGAGCTCGGGTTGCCCCAGCGCAGTTACCTAAAGCCCGGATTTGCCCGGCCCCCTTTCCCCTCAACCCCCACCCCCACCCCCACCCCTGGGGAAAGACAAGCAAAATCAGGACTCCCGCTCCTCCCACCTCTCCCCCCACCTCTGCCCCCACCCCTTCTCCTCTTCGCCGCTCCCCTTCCCCCTCCCCGGCTCGGGCTCTCGGCTCACCTTTCATCGCTGCAATCACAAAATACATCATTTAAGCCGAGGTGCACAGAGCGCAGGGAGAGCGGATGGTCCGAAGGCGGAGCCCCTCTACCGCTGCCGCTGCCGCCGCCGCCGCCGCCGCCTCTTAGGCTGCTGCCGCCGAGGCCGCCGCCGCCCGAGCTCCAGCAGCAGCTACCGCAGCTGCCCGCCCGCCGCTGAGAGCCATCCCCAACCATATGAGGCTCCATGTGACCGGCTGACATCACGGCCGCCGCTCTGTTTACACCGCGCCCCTTTCGCTCCGGGCCGCCCCGCCCCGCCCTCGCGGGCCAGGTGAGCGCCGCCGGGCTCCCCCTACAGCCCAGCCCTCCGGAGCAGGCGGGGAGCCCCCCCCCCCCCCCTACGCCCCGGGCCCGTGTGCCCCCGCCCCCTCTCGTTGCCCTTCCTCCCCCCCCCCCCCCCCCCCCCCGCCTATTCTCTTCTCAAACCATTCCCCCGACCCCCAGTGTCCCGCACCTGTTGCAGAAATATATTTTGCAGGTAATGCATACACACACGCTGCGAAAGCCATTCTGGTCATCCACTCCAACTTTCCCACCTCGTGGTTAGAAATGTCCTGCCCTGCTGATGATGGCTACCTTCACTCACCCTCTGGGAAGTCTTCAAATACAATTTCCACCCCCACCCCCCCACCCCCAGTTTGGAGTCTAAAAGCTGTCTAGTCTTTTGTTAAAACTCCTGGGTGTATCCCTCGCCCCTTCCCTCTCCCTCCCCCATTTTTTCCGACGTGATTCTGGGCGCCGGTGGTCAAAAGAGACTGATTTTCTCAGCTGGGGGGGAGGGGAGGGAGGACGAATTGCAAACAGTAGACTGCTGGATCTAAGCGGACGAAAAAGAATATTATTAGCAGAGGGGATGTGCTATTTGTTTTACACAGCAGCAGAGAACTGTAACTCTCCGGACTTTCTCACACCCACTACAGACGTTAGCTGGGGTGAGAACCGCGGACTTTAGCAGACAACCCTCCAGTAGGAACTACTGCTCCAAGATGATCCCGAGTTATTTTACATAACCAAGTTTGCAAGACAACTGGTTACTCCTAATAGCCTTGACCAATGCTCTGACCCCAAGATGAAGAATTCAAATTCCATTTTCATATTTTAAAAATGCTACTTAGTGTTTTTCCTTCTGGGAACAACAGCAACAACAAAAAAATTTAATCTTGTCTTTGTGAAATATAACGAATTTGAAACCAATACTTGAAAAACAAAATAAACCCCAAATCTTGTAAGTTGTTATTGTTTCTGCTTAGCCTTATGGGGAACTCACATGTAATTATTCTTTAGATGCATTTCTTTACAATGAATTTAAGATGTTATAAACAAATAGTATGTGCTTTAAATTTTTAGCAAGTATATATGTATATATATATAAAACTGAATAGAACATTTTTTTAAATTACAGAAATCGGATCTAAGTACCTGCTGCTGAGCCTCTAAACAATTTCCAATTGTTTTCTGTTTGTCCTATATTTCTATTTCCAACTTTCCAGAAAATATTTACTTGCCTTCATTGTAATTAAACAGAGAACACTTGCAGTTTTACTGTATAACAGAAATATAATTTTCCATGATTCATGCCATAATTCCTAACAGATGCATACTATCAACATTATAAAAAGCAAGGACATATAATTTCTACTCACACTCATTCTCCATCAAAGTTAAGTCTTTAGAGTTTTTTTTATCTGGTGTACAAGCCAGGAAATCACATAAGCTCACTGCATCTTATACAAAATCATAGTATTTCAGCCATTCTACTAAGTTAACACTGCTTAGATTTTTCTTTGAAAATGAAATCCTGAAAATAAGAAAAGGAAATTATAAAAGTGTGACACAAAGACATACCCATGTTAATTCAGCTGGACAGCCATAACGAAGTGGACAAGAACTTCAAACTAATCAACCATATTCCCTGTATTGTTTACAATTATGAAATTAACTTACACCACATCACCATGATGCAACCTCATCACAAAATGAAGCAACGTCACTCTATCACACTGACACGACCACACATCACTTCTCCCTTGATTTCTCTTGTGCTTCTGATGGAAAAAAGGGGAGGGAGGGAAGGAAACTCCAGACTTTTCTTGCAGCAGGTTCCCAGATATAATTTTCTTTCCCCTGGGGCACTGGGGGAAGGAAGCAGCAGGCAGAGAAATATCAAGGACTCTGTCCGTAGTGGTATTTTTCGATGCCCCTTGCTTCACTGCTCAACAAAGATGTATGGCATCCAGAATTCAGCATTTTTAAAATAACAGACTCGGGATTAAAGTACAGAAATGTTATGTTAAAATACTTACAGTGGCATTGTAAATAATAGCAGACTATGAACTGAAAAGTGATATAATCCATTAGTTCAAGTCTGGCCGTCAGACATCTGACCCCAAGGAAGCTAATAATACTTATCTGTACTTATTTACAGTCAGTTTAAAATGAAATTGGCAATGTAGAATGACACATAACATACCAGGCAGTTGTAACTATGACAGACAGAATCAGACATAATTTAAAAATTACATACCCTATAATGTTTCCTTGAAATATTTGAGATTCACTCTTTTCCAGGACATTTTCCAGTGTAATATAAGGTCTGAACTTGCCTTTTAAAAAATTATTGCTTCTTCATCTAATATCTAATGTACCAAGTATTTTCTGTTTTTTTTAAATGTTGATGAGATTTGTAAATATATACCAAAGGTATTAATTTTTTAACCCATGTTAAACTTCATTTTAATAAAATGTACTTACAAAATTAGAAATGATAAAAAATTGAGGCTACTCTAAAAATGGCACAAGGCTAAGAAACAAGCGATCTTCTGTGGAAACAAAAGGCCCCAAACAGACTACCAAATTAACAATAGGTATATAAACACAAGCATCCCCTTCCATTTCTGATAAATGTTGAAAGAAATAAAACATGTAACCCAATGAAAATTTTACTTGATTTACCAAAATATACTGAACTAATTTTTCTCAGTTCTTGTTTTCCCATACATCTCTAAAACAGATAAATAATAATACTTTTTTTTTTAACTTATCAGTAATTAAAAGGACTGGGAGTATTTCTTTTAGATAGGATTATACCCCAAATTTATACTAGCTCTCAGAAAAAGCGGAATCTCACATAACACCTCCGAAGAAATGTAATCTATCCTGGAGTCCCCCAGAGAAAGCCATAGCTCCACATGATGTCCCTGTATCCTAGGTTTTGCATTTGGATCTATGATTTAGCAAAGAGATGTGTGATTAAAAAAAAAAAAATCAACAGCTCCAAAGTGTCTTTGAGAAAAGCTTGTCTTATTTCTGCAGGGGTCTAGAGCAGCCTATATTCAGGATGTGGACATCTATCGTCCTTCCCCATGTCATAGGTTAACAGAAGAAATAATACTTGCCTTTCTAAGAGTAGTTTTGATTTTACACCATAGAGAACCTGAGTCCATGGTGTACCAGATTGAGTAATACAATGTTATTGGCAAGAATGGCAGATTGTTGGAACAACATATTAGTCCATAGCCTGACCCTAGCTTACAATGCAAGGTTGATTTCCAGTTTTGCTGATCTGTTTTAAAGCAGGAAATCTTTGGCTCTGACTGTGGATCTTCCTCTGACCCTGGTTTTCTCTGTCCAGTACTGGTATGGAAGCTTGTTAAATCAATTAATTTATTTCGAGTTCTATAAGAAAGGGATCAGTAAAAGGTTAATGTCGTCCCAGTCAGTTAGACTAAGTTGTCTTTTGCCATTGTTTTGTTGATGTACTTACAACACCTTTAGCAGCTGGGACATTCTCAGTGACCTATAGTCAAGACACCTCATCTCTCATATATTACATAAAACCAGGCCAGAAAGGGATTTCATAGAAAACCTAGAAGCTAACAAGAAACATATTTACATTCTGGAAGTGGGACTGTTTCTACTGAGTCACAATGAATCAATGTCTCATAAAAGGAAATTTGTACCTGGAATGACATCTATGATTTCTAGTAATCATAGAGGGTTAGGGCTCTTGGGTTTTATGTGGTAAATATTGGATATTTAAAAATTTTCAAGCTGGAAGCAATTAGAGATCCATTAGAGCTTATCCCATCATTTTTCAGATGAGGAAACTGAGGCCCAGAGAAAGTAAGTGACTAAATCAAGTCATTTAGCTTATTAATGCCAGAGCAAGGACTCAAATCAAGATCTTCTGATACCCAGTCTGGTGTTCTTTCCACTGCCTAACTGGAACTTTCCATATACCATATTAACAGTGGAAAAAGCATAAAACTTAAGTCAGAAGACCTGGGCTCAGTTCCAGCTTGGCTTACCAACTACTAGGCAATTTACTCATGTTCATTGAGTCTCAGATACCTCATCTATCTGTAAATGGGGATAATATATCTGCCCTACCCAGTTCTGACTGAAAATGGATGTCAAAACACTTTATAACCTTAGAACATGGTATAAGCTATTATCAGTGGTAATGAAGTCTATAGATGACATTTTGTATTACTAATATTAATCAATGATCCCCAACCTTTTAAGAATTACAATTCATCCCCCTCCCAACACACACAAGGAAGAGTTACACAACCTTGTCCTCCCTCCCAAAATATGTGGTTAGGAGGTAAACATATCGATTAGGCTTATCTCACTTGTAACTTTTTTTAAATACAAGATAACCATAGAAATACAGGTCACACAGAATCACTGTGTTTCTGTGATAATAGG